GTAGTAGTAGTAGTAATCGTAGTAGTAGTAATAATAATATTAGTTGTAGTAGCAGTCGTAGTAGTAGTAGTAGTAGTAGTAGTAGTAGTAGTAGTAGTAGTAGTAGTAGTAGTAGTAGTAGTAGTCGTAGTAGTAGCAGTAGTAGTAGTAGTAGTAGTAGTGGGAGTAACAGTCTCTGTAGTAGTAATAGTATTAGCCATGGGGGTACCGTGGCGGACTCAAATGGATGTCGGGTTTTCCGTGTGGTTTTCTTGGACTGCTCTTGATGTCCACACCCCGCATTGGAGCGCGCGAGAGGCGGCGCCGGAGGCCGCTAAGGGAGGCCTCTTCTTCTGATTCGACCCCTTTATTTGAGTTGCGAATTGGGGCGCCTGTGAGCAATTGCGTCGGATCATTGAGGTTGCAAACAGAGAGGCAGTCCAAACGGTTGTTTGGTTTTGGGCCTTTGCTGGGAGCGCTCGGGGACAACGTCGCGCTCGCCGACAGGAACAGCACCTTCAAGTGCAAGCCGTACAAATGATGATGAAGTCTGCACTGGCGCTACGCGTATTGAACACCGTGGACGTATGACCAGAAGGGGGAAGAAACAAAGAGGCCGGTCGAAAAAGGGCGAATCACAACGACAATTCGGAGGAGAAGGAGGAGGAGGAGGAGGAACAGAGAAAGAGGACGGGAGAGTTTTTTTGATATTAACCAAGAGGATCACGAAGTGGCAGATGTGGAGCGGAGAGACAAACAGTGGAAGCGCCGTGAGAGGCACCCCGCCACCGTATGTCAATCGAGCTCCAGGCGTCACCCTGCTGGGGTCGTGAACCAGAAGCGTTTGGAAAATATGTCAAGGTACAAGCGGCACGAATCATGCCCGAGTGGTGGACCAGCGGGCATTTACATATACCCTCTGGCTGTCTGCCAATCCCGCCGCAGTGCCAGTGCCTATGGGTCATAGAGTCATAGACCTCCGGGATGCCTGTTGCAGCCTCGTGGGGGGCCTCCTGGGGGCCTGTTCGGGAACAGTTTTGAATCCTCTTGGTCGCCTTCTTGGGGCCATTTTGCGCTGCCTTTGGGCCTCTACGCGGCTTTTGTGGGCCTCCTGGGTGCGTTTCGGGCGCCCGTCTGCGGTCTGAGGAGTCCTTTGGGGCGGAGAACTTAGCTTGAGCTCCCCCACGTGGGATCGTTTTGAGGCTGTTTCAGGACACCTTTGTCTTGGAGGCCTTTTGGGCCGACTTGGGGCTTTCTTGGGCCGTCTTGGAATCCCCTTGAGAGCCTCCTGGGCCGTCATGAGGTGATCTTAAGGGCTTTCTGGGCCGGCCTGGACGCCGTGAAAACCCAAGAGGCGAATCTGCTGTACGTTTGCAGAGGGAGTGTGATGTTTTTGGTCTTCGGTCCCTCTAGGGCGTGCTCGTGGAGGCTTCTTGGGAGGACGCCTCTTGGGCCATCTGGAGGTCATCTTGCGCGGTACGGGCCGATCTGTCGGCGACTCCAGGCCATCTTGGGCCGTCTTGGGTGTCTCTGGAGCCGTGGAGACTCCACGACACACCAGAAGAGTTTGGATCCCTCCATGACGCGCTCCCGGGGGAGTCGTCCCGTGACCGTCTGGGGCCAGGGGTCCAATGCTTTGCTCGGGCCCCCCTGGGGGGGATCATTGGGGGAGAATCCCACACGCCTGGGGACCCACGAGGGGTCGGCGGATTCTTCCTCATTCTCCTCTTCCTCGGCTTGGCTTGATTGCTTATGTTTGGTCTTGTCGCGTGCCGTCCCCACGAGTAGCATTCTGCCAGACACGAGGGCTGTACACAGCAGGGTCGATGCACGTGCCACGGTCTGCGTTTTTGGATCCTTCTTGTCACATCGCGTAATACAATTTCTGTGTTTTCGCTGTGACTCTGGATCGATTGTCGGGTGGTTGCGCTATCTCCTTCTGTATTTCCCCCACAACAAAAAAGGGAGACCGAGGAGACGGAGGAAGGATGGCCGAGGGTGGTCGGGAGGAAGAGGGCGGAATGTATGGTAGGGAGATCAGGAGGCGGAGAAAGAGGGGTAGGATGAGGTGGAGGACGGGTGTGGGAGGGACAGAAGGAGCAGAGGGGAAGGACGACGAGGAAGAGGAGGAGGAGGGGGAGGAGGAGGAGGAGGCGAAGGAGGAGGAGGATGAGGAGAAGGAGGAGAAGGAGGAGGACAATACGATGGCCAGGCGGTTGAGGGCGAGGAGGGCTGGAGAGTCACGCTCAGGTCCTCGCCGCAGCCAGCGGGCAGTCCCACAGGCGGCTGCCGCCAGCCCTTTTGCGCTTCGGGATGGAGGGCACTCAAAGCCAGGAGTGATGATGCTGATGCTGATGCTGATGCTGCTGATGCTGCTGCTGCTGATGAGGATGAGGATGAGGATGAGGATGAGGATGAGGATGAGGATGATGATGATGATGATGATGATGATGATGATGATGATGATGATGACGATGATGATGATGATGCTGATGATGATGATGATGATGACGCTGACGATGACGATGACGACGATGCTGCTGCTGATGATGATGTTGATGATGATGATGTTGATGATGCTGTTGGTGACGACGATGATGATGATGATGATGATGATGATGATGATGACGATGATGAAGATGATTATGGTGGTGGTGGTGATGAGGCTAATGCTGATGACGATGCTAAGCAGGCAGAGGAGGAAGAGGAGCAGGATGAGGATGATGATGAAGATGGTGGTGGTTGTGGTGGTGCTGACTCTGCTGATGATGGTGGTCTTGACGACGACACCGACGACGATGCTCGTGATGTTACTGATGCTGATGCTGCTGATGATGGTGCTGATGATGCTGTTACCGATACTGGTGGTTAGGATGATGATGATGATGATGATGATGATGATGATGCTGATGATGATGATGATGATGATGATGATGATGATGATGCTGATGCTGATGCTGATGATGATACGGACGTCGATAATGATGATGATGCTGATGCTGATGCTGGAAATGAGGATAACGTTGTTGCTGTTGCTGTTGTCGTTGCTGTTGTTATTGTTGTTGCGGCTGCTGTTGTTGTTATTGGCGTTGTTGTTATCGTTCTGTTTTTTGGGGGGGTTGTTGGTTTCGGTGTTGTTGTTGCTGTTCTTGGTGTTGTTGTTGTTGTTGCTGCTGAGGTTATCGTCATCGCCGTTGTTGTTGGTGGTGGTGTTGCTGCTATTGTTGTCGTTGTTGCTGGTGTTGCAGTTGTTGCTGATGTTGTTGCTGTGGTTGTGTGTTGTTGTTGTTGTTGGTGGTGGTGGTGGTGTTGTTGTTGTTGTTGCCAATTGAACTCTCATTCTTGAAGAATAATTATTGTTGATCCCCCCCCACCGGTGCACATTGATTTTTTTTCAATTGAAGTGCCCCCCCGGGGCTCGCACCTTGTTTTTGTCAAGGAAAGTCTTCCTGCTCAAACTGGCCCCGTGGCCCCCGGGTTACAACAACAACGGCTCCCGCCTGAGACTTCCTCACAATTTTGCCAGGACCCCCGCTCCCGCCCGAGACTTCCTCGCATTTTATTCAAGCATCGCGCTCTCGCTTGGGACTTCCTTACGATTTATTAAGGAATCGCTCCTCCTGCGCTCTGGAGTCGCGCTCTCGCTGGAGACTTGCTTGCAATTTACTAAAGAGTAGCGCCCTTGCGTTAGATTTTTTTGTAATTTACTCCAGCGCCGCGCTCCCGACACCCAGGCACCCAGGAGTCGCGCTCACGCTTAGGACTCCTTCACAGATTACCTAGGACTCGGGATCTCGCTGCCCTTCGTGGTCCCGTTGCAGCCCTTCGTGGCCCCCTCGCTTTGTTTCGTGGCCCCGTTGCAGCCCTTCGTGGCCCCCTCTCTTTGTTTCGTGGCCCCGTTGCAGCCCTTTTTTTTTTTTTTTTTTTTTTTTTTTTTTTTTTTTTTGTTTTTTTTTTTTTTTTTTTTTTTTTTTTTTCTTTTTTTTTTTTTGTTTTTTTTTTTTTCTTTTTTTGTTTTTTGCTTTTTTTTTTTTTTTTGTTTTTTTCGTGGCCCCCTCGCTTTGAGTCGTTTTTTCTGTCCCCGTTTCAGCCCTTCGTGGCCCCCTCGCTCCTTCGTGGCCCCGTTGCAGCCCTTCGTTGCCCCGTGCAGCCCTTCGTGGCCCCCCGCTGCCCCTCGTGGCCCCGTTGCAGCCCTTCGTGGCCCCTCGCTTTGTTTCGTGGCCCCATATATGTATGCCTTTCGTGGCCCCCACTCGTTCGCGCCCGTGGTGGCCCCATATGCATGCCCTTCGTGGCCCCGCTGTCGCCCTTCGTGGCCCCCTCGCTGCCCTTCGTGTCCCCGTTGCTGCCCTCAGTGGCCCCGTCCGTACCCTCCGCGGCCCACCATACGTATGCCCTTCGTGGCCCCCGCTCGTTCGCGCCCGTTGTGGCCCCATGTGCATGCCCTTCGTGGCCCCGCTGTCGCCGTTTGTGGCCCCCTCATTGTCCTACGTGGCCCAGGTGCTACCCTCAGTGGCCCCATCGTTGCCTTCTGTGGCCCCGCACTATCTGCACTTCGTGGCCCACGCTCGTTCGCGCTCCTCGTGGCCCCATACGCATTCCCTTCGTGTCCCCGCTGTCGCCCTACGTGGCCTGCTTCGTGTCCTTCGTGGCTCTGCTGTCGTTCTCTCTCGCTCTCGCTTTCGCTCGTCGTCGTCGCCGTCGCCGTCGTTGCCGTCGTCGTCGACGTCGTCGCCGTCGTCGTCGTCGTCGTCGTCGTGGTCGGTCCCCTGTCCGTCCCTCTTGGGGTCGGGTCGACGGTCCGCGGCCGCCCCGCCGATCAGCGCTGCCGCTGGCCAGGCTGACGGTCCGCGGCCGCCCCGCCGCTTGCCGGGCCCCGGCCTGCAGGGAAGTAAGGTATACCCCCCAAAAGGGGTTCGATCGAAGACGAAAAGGGCGGGTATCGAGGGTTTGGGAAATTCGCGTTATTCGACACACGAGCAGATAAGGGCGAACAGTCTTAAGATGATTGTTGTTGTTCTTGTTGCTGTTGCTGTTGCTGTTGTTGTTGCTGCTGCTGCTGCTGCTGCTGTTGTTGTTGTTGTTGTTGTTGTTGTTGTTGTTGTGGTTGTTGTTGCTTTTGTTAATGGTGTTGTTGTTGTTGCTGCTGAGGTTGTCGTCATCGTCGTTGTCGGTGTTGGTGGTGGTGGTGTTGCTGCGTTTGTTGTCGTTGCTGCGGTTGTTGTAGTTGTTATCGTTGTTGTTGTTGCTGTTGTTGTTGCTGATGCTGGCGATGCTGACGATGGTGGTGTTGATGCGGCTGCTGTTGATGGTGCTGATGATTATTGCGAGGCTGATGCTGATAATGGGGAAGAAAGATAATAAGGAGGATGAGGATGAGGATGAGGAGGACGAGGAGGAGAAGGAGGATGAGGATGAGGATGAGGATGAGGATGAGGATGAGGATGATGATGATGATGATGATGATGATGATGCTGCTGATGATGATGATGATGATGAGGATGATGATTGATGATGATGAGGATGATGATTGATGATGATGATGGTTGATGGTGATGATGATGATGATGCTGATGATGATTAGGAGGAGGAGGAGGAAGAGCAGGAGGAGGCAGGATGAGGAACAGGAGGAGGAGAAGGAGGAGAACATGGCGAGGAGTAGGAGGACGAGAAGGAGGAGACGGAGGAGGAGGAGGAGGAGGAGGAGGAGGAGGAGGAGGAGGAGAAGGAGCAGGAGCAGCAGGATGAGGAGGTGGAGGACGAGGTGGGGAGAATGAAAATGAGGTCAGTGAGTGGAAGGATGAAGTCCCTTGCGGCCGCCAGCCTCGCGCTGCTGTCCACCGGCGAAATTTTTGCGTGGGGGTCGAACCAGCAGGGCCAGGTCGGCAACGGCAAGCGCGCGCTGGTGTACAGGCGGGGCCTTCCCTCTGTGTTGTTCCCCCCCCGGGCTCCTCAGGGCTCCCCTCTTCGCTCGGCCCCTTCTTTTTGTCATTATCCTCGTCTTCGCCCCCCTCGTTGTGGTCGTAGCCCTCTCCATCCTCTTTGTCCTCGCCCTCCTCCGCCCTCCTCGTTGCCCTTCGCCCTCCTCCCCCTCCTCCACCCCTCCTCCTCCTACTCCCTCCCTCCCTCCCTCCCTCTCCCTCCCTCTCCCTCCCCCGCCCCCCCACCCTCCTCCTCCTCCTCCTCCTCCTCCTCCTTCTCCTCCTCCTCCTCCTCCTCCTCCTCCTCCTCCTCCTCCTCTCCCACTGGAGCACAAGCCGCTCGAGGCTCCCCGAAGGCATTTCGGCTTCCAGTGAGCGGGCCTCGGGTCGCGCCCAGTGCTGCCACTTAGCGCCTGGGGGGCACGCCCCAGCTGGATTGTTTCTTCGCCTTGGTGGGCGTTGGCAAGATTTAGACAGCGCGTTTGATGTTTGCATCGATGCAATGGTATCGCGCTTGAGGGGCACCAAAGGGTCTTACGGCACTTGGGTTTTTGCTGCTTAAGGGTCTGTGGACACTGTGCAGCTGTGCAACCAGGGCTGTGGCAAGTGGCTGTGGAGGTGGGGGCATGTGTCAATCCAGTCTTTTTTTGTCAGGCTTTGCGTTCGCTGTTCTGGCACCCCGCACGTACGCTTATCACGTTGCCAATGCCCCTACAATATGTCAAGCCGGCAATTCGTGGCCTTTCTTGTCATTCACTGGTGCCAGTCGCGACGGGCGTATGGCTATTTTCGTTTGCTGCGTTGCCCGTGTTTGAGAGGCGGTGTGCGTATGCAATTCAGGTGGACATGTGGGTTCAATACGCCTTGCTTCTTCTGTTGTGCGGCGGCCTACCTCGAGAAACGGTACTCGCACTGTTCTTTCTCGTTTGCGTGTTCTGTGGCTCGTGGTGTATGTTGCCTGGGGGGAGTCGTGGGTCGAGAGTGTCTCGGTGCTCGGCTTCGTGCTCGATGCTCTCCATGGACTTCAGTGGGTGGCTGTTCTTTGTCAGTTATCCGAGTACGTCAGGGTCCCGAGTTCTGGAGTTCCCCTCACCCTTCTCCCTCCTCGTCCCTTCCCCCCTCCGTCTCCGCTCTTCCTCCTGTCCTTCCCCGGGGGTCCTTCCCCCCTCCTCTTCCTCCTTCCCCTTGGTCGTCGTCCTCTTCCTCCTGCCCACGGGCTCGAGGTTGCACACCCAGTGGGCCCGAGTGCTGAGCCCAGTGTGTGATCAGACACCCCTCGGGTGGCCGCCGACATGTCGAAGTTATGTGTGTTTGGGTGACATTCGCTGCGGGTTACTGGCTGCCGCTAACAAGACACAGACAGCTGCGCGCAGAGCATGGCTTTCTTCGTCCTCTTCTCGGGCACCTGTGACGTTGGCAGGGAGGTGGTCGGCGCGTTGCAGCGACGTGTCGGAGGGAGGACCGACCCCGACATCGCAGTCCAGCGAGGGCTCCACATCGATGGTGTCGCAGGGGCATCGGTCTTGTTCGGCAAGGGCATGCGGGCGCGGGAGCTCGTGGAAGGGAGCGGTGGGGCCGAAGGGCCGAAAGTTAAGTCGGGCGTGTCCCTCTACAGGAGGAAGATTCCCAAATTGTCAAACAAATAGTCTGGGGTTGGGCGTTCTTTTCGTCTTTTAAGGAAGGCATACCTATTGAGCTCTGAAATCATTAAAAAAACTCCATGACTGAAACTCGAAAACCCTTTTTCCCGCCATGACTGAAGCTCGGAAAACGAGGGCCCCAACATAGCGGCATGCCGTAAACTCACGACGCGCATATGTGCCATGCCGTAAACTCACACCGAGCTTCGGAGAGGAAGGACGGGAGAAGGAAAACTATGGGGGGGCGCGGAGGGGGGCAAGGAGGAGTACGAGGAGCAAGAGGAAAAAGAGGAGGACGAGGAGGAGGACTCGCGCGCATATTATAAGTTATAAGCTAAAAATAACAAAGGCCAGCCTCTTGGTTCTCCTCCTCCTCCCCATATTCAGATTGCTCGGTGGCCAGTAGGGACGCCTCCAGGGCCGCGTGCGGACCCTGGGGCGGCACGACAGGACGAGGGGGGGCGAGAGCGAAGGGGAAGCAGTCGACGGGGGGGGGGCGAAGGCATTGAGCGGGGGGGGCGAGGACGGAGAGGAGGAGGAGGACGAGGATGGGGAGGGACGAGGAGGGGGAGGAGGAGGAGGAGGTGGAGGGCGACGAGGAGGAGGAGGAGAAGGAGGAGGAGGAGAAGGTAGAAGGTAGAATGTACAAGGTACAAGGTAGAAGGTAGAAGATAGAGAGGTGGAGGAGGGGGGCGCAGGACGGGGTGTAGAGGGCAGAGGGCAGAAGGTAGGTAACAGGTAACGGGTAAAGGGTAAAGGGTGAAGGGGGGGGAGGAGGATGAACAGGAGGAGGAGGAGAAGGAGAAGGAAGGGGAGGAGAAGGAGGAGGAACATCGTGCTGTGCTGTAGCTCCTGAGCCTCGTTGAGCAGGGAAGCCCCTGGCGAGGCGCACGTGGGAATGGGGAGGGGCAGTTGGCGGAGGAGGACGGGGAGGCGGGTGATGATGAGCGGATGGGGGGGAGGAGGAGAAGGAGGAGGATGGGGGAGGGAGGAGAAGGAGGAGGAGGATGGGGGGAGGGAGGAGGAGGAGGAGCGAGAGTAATGCAGTAATGCTGATGATGATGGCGATGATGAGCCTGATGATGATGATGATGATGATGATGATGATGATGATGATGATGATGATGACGATGATGATGATGATGAGGAGGAGGACGATGAGGTTGAGTACGATGATTATGATGATGATGAGGTGGATGAGGAGGCGCGAGGCGCGAGGGACGGTGAGCAATGAGCGAGGAACGAGGATGAGGATCAAATGCGAGAGGCAAGAGGCAAGAGGAGGACCATCCCCTGATCCCTGAAGGATCAAGGCATAACGCGTAAACCCTAAAGCCGAAAGCCTAAAGATTTTGAGGATGAATATGATATATGATGATGCTTATGATGAGGATGATTATGATGATGAGGGGGAGGAGGAGGATAAAGGATAAAACGAGAGCGGCAAGACCTGGGGACGTGATGACGATGACGGGGTGGGGGAAGGGGAGATGGGGAGAGGAGTGGGGAGGAATCGGAGTAGAGAGTAGAGGTGGGCGGGGAGGGGGTGCCGCTCTCGGTCACCCCTCCCCGCAGCCTCAGCCATTTTGGCCCTGGGCAGCTCCTGCCGCCGCCTCCTCCCTCTCTGCCGCAACCCCTGCCTCCTCCTCTCCTCCCCCTTCTTCTCCCCCGCCCCCGCGCCCGAAGGCCATTGCAGCTCTCAGGGCTCAGGGCCCGAACTCTGTAAGGGGGTAGTGGGTGGGGGTAGGGGGGTAGGGGGTAGGAAGTCGGGGGAGGGGGGATGTCCGGCTGGGGGCTGGGGAATCCGAATGGGGGGTCTGGGGGTCCCTGGGGGGCCCTCGTCGGGGACGGAGCCGTCGGTTTCGGCGCCGCGGTCTGGCGGCTGGAGGGCTGATCGTCGACGTCGTCGTCGACCCTAGTCTTCGTCGTCGTCGTCGTCGTCGTCGTCGTCGTCGGCATCCCTCGTCGTCCTCGTCGTCCTCGTCCTCGTCCTGTGCCCTACGCCCTGGGGGGCGCGTGGCCATCGGGGCAGTGGCGCAGCCTTGCGCATGGCGATGGCGCTGCCTCGCTGACCGCCATGGCCTCGGTGGACGAGGAGCGCATTGGGAGTCAAGAGGAGACGGAGGAGGAGGGGGAGGAGGAGGGAGAGGGGGGGAAACGAGGCTGAGGACAAAGGACAAGAGGCAAGAGGTTAGGGGCTAGGGGTTAGGGGTTAGGGGTTAGGGGTTAGGGGTTATGGGGTTAGGGGTTATGGGGTTAGGGGTTATGGGGTTGGGGGTAGGGGGTAGGGTTAGGGGGTTAGGGGTTAGGGGTTAGGGGGTTAGGGGTTAGGGGTTAGGGGTTAGGGGGTTAGGGGGTGAGGGGTTAAGTGGTTAAGTGTTATGGGTAGGGGGTAGGGTTAGGGTTTAGGGTTTAGGGTTTAGGGGTTAGGGTTCAGGGGTTCGGGTGAGGGGTTAGGGGTTAGGGGGTTAGGGGGTAGGGGTGGAGGTTAAAGGTTAGAGGTTAGAGGTTAGAGGTTAGAGGGTTAGACGTTAGACGTTGGAGTTAGGAGTTAGAGGTTAGAGGGTTAGAGGGTTAGAGGTTAGAGGTTAGAGGTTAGAGGCAGGGGTCAGGTTATGGGTTATGGGGTCAGGGCTTAGGGCTGAGGGCTTGGGGGCTTCGGGGTTAGGGGTTGAGGGTTAGGGCTTAGGGGTTAGGGGTTAGCGGGTTGAGGGGTTAGGGGTTAGGGATTAAGGAGTAAGGGTTGAGGGTCAGGGGTTAGGGGTTCTGGGATATGAAGTTAGGCCCCAGGAGGCACCAGGAGGGCGAGGGGGTTCATTGTCCTCCTCCCCCTCGCCCCTTCTGCTCCCAGACGCCCCGCCCCCCCCCTCTCCTCCTCCTCCACCTCCTCGTCGTCGTCATCGTCGCCCTCGTCGTCGTCGTCGTCGTCGCCCTCGTCGTCGTCGTCGTTCCTCCTCCTCCTCCTCCTCCTCCTCTCCTCCTCCTCCTCCTCCTCCTCCTTCTCCCCCTCCTCCTCCTCTCCTCCTCGTCCTCCTCTTCCTCGCGCCGGAGGTTCCTAGATCCTAGATGGGGCTTCGCCCGAAGTGCGGCGAGAGCGCGAAGATAAGCGCCCAGTGGCCGTTATCCCTCTCCGTGCTCGACCTGGCTGTTCCAGTTTAGTTCTAGTTTCTAGTTTCTAGTTTGTTTGCCTGGGGTGCGGGTGCCTGCTCGTGCGGGCGGCCCGCATGCTCCACGTGTGCAGACGTGTGCGCGTGGCCACCTTGCGACACTCTTCCAAAGCCCCTTCCAGCTCGTCTTGGGATGGGCGCAGGGGGGGTCCCGGAGGGGCGAGGACTATGGAGTGCGAGGGGAA